GAGAGAGAGAGAGAGAGAGAGAGAGAGAGAGAGAGAGAGAGAGAGAGGGGTGAATATTGATGCCAGTTAAAGTAAAACCATGTCAGATAAGCATCTCAGCCCTGGATAGGTCAAGGCAGAGCATCAGAAAGAAAGGCAGAAATGTCCCAATCACCATTACAGCCCAGAGGACCTTGGGAATTACCTTCCACGTCTGAGCAAAGCAACCTTCAGGCACCAAACCTATGAGCTCACCAGCACTCCTCCACCAAGTCCTGTGACCATGAGTTCAGGTACAGACCTGACCCTTGAAATAGTTTCAGCCAATGGGCGTTGGGCCTGAAGCCCTTGTGCCATTGGCTGAGAGTGAGAACTAAGCCCTCCTCTGGACCTCCCCCAACACACTCTGCGGTTTCTCACCCCAACCCTGGGTCATCATCCAATCTGGGATTTATCATCACCTCAAGTAGCTGGAATTCTTAACTCTTTCTGGTCAATTGGTGAGATGTAAACACTGTGGAGGGCACTTAGGATAACAGTGGATAACTTCATTGTCCTTTTTGTGGTGAACACTATTATATTAGCGGTACAGATATCCACTGATTAAAAACGAGGGTCCTTCAGGTGCCCTCTTCTGGTACACTCTACTCTCACTCCTGGACAGAGGCAATGATAAGGGCTTGGTTGACTATTTTTCTACCATATGTGGGATTTGCCATGGACAGCTGTAATCATTACAAAAACTCAGCCACACTTCCAGTAAAATATCAAATAAAAATTTCATCAGTTTACCAAAATAGATAGGTATATGGATAGATAATTAGAAATATGTATATATATATATATATATATATATATACGCACACACATATATATAATAAAGTTTCAAAGCACAGATGGAATTGTACTCTCCAGCTTATTTGATAATATGTATTATTATTATCACTACTACCTATTTTTCCCTATGCTTTAATCCCCTTTACTTAGCATATCACGGGGCACAGGGCTTTGGACTCCTGCTAGATAGAACAAACTGGGTAGTTAAAATAAATTAATAATCAATCAAGAAACAAAGGTAGCCAAAATCTCTGCAGCTTTCTCTTCATTGGGTGCGCAAAACTGTTCCAGTGTTCAGTGGGTTCGGTATCTGAGTGTAAGAGAGAGAATTTCCAAGAACTGTTTTCTTTGTTAAACAATGGCAAATTCCCAGAACAGCTTCTAACATCACAAAGTTAATGAAGGAACCAACAACAATCGTAGTGGGATCTTTCTCCCAAACGAAAAGCACATAATCTGATTCCCCAGCCACGCGTGCTCCCTCCTTCTCCAACAGACACAGACAGCAGCTCTAACACCACCCACAAGAGGTGCTAGGGACTGGTGACTGCTTAGTGCTTCGGCCATCACACTGGGCAGGTCTATAGCGTCCACTTTCTGCAAGGAACCTCAACAAATGGAGTGTGTTTTAAATGCGCAAGGCTCACATCTTCCTGGGCACAGCAGAGCTATAGCGCCCAAAGGCACACATCACCATAACCACCAATAAAATCTACAGCAAGCCAAAAGCTCAGGGAGCCCAGCAGGTTCTTCCCTGGTGTGCCCACCTTGCCTTTCTAAAGTTTAGGTCCCTCTCATCAAAAGCTTGTTGACCTTTCTGTTGGTCCCTGCCTTTTCTTTGCCTGGAGAAGCTCCTGTCCTTCATCACCTCCCCCAAGAGTCAAAGCGTAGGTCCAATTCTCAAACAGCAATCTTTTCCTTTACTCAGTAACTGTAAAGTTACTGAGACGATAACCCATCAAAGGCAGCCACACAAACCGGAGTAGGGGCCATGGAGATAGCTCTGTCTGTAAGGCAGCTGTTGTGCAAGCATGAAGATCAGACTTCGGATCCCCAGAACCCACATAAAAGTTAGACATGGTGGTGAGTGTCTGTATTCCCAGCGCTGTGAGGACAGAGATGGGGGATCCCTGGGATGTTATGGCCGGCTAGTCTATCTCAGTGGGTGAGCTTCACCCTGTCTCAAAGGATAAGGTAGGAGAGGCTAGTGGTACAGCGCTTACCTTGGTTCAGTTCCCTGTACAAAAAAAAAAAAAAATTAAAAAAACACAGTAGAAGGTGACTGTAGATACCTCGCATAAAAAAGGGGGGGGCAAGAATGTCCAAGCAGAATTCCAGCAACACCTGGCTAATTTATGAAACATATCACCAATTCAGAGGTTAAACATAACAAGACTTGGTCACTTCGCAGACTCAGGCCCTGTTAGTTTGTTGGAACACAAGCTCAGCCCACCCCACCTAAGCGGCAGTGATTGGCCTCCAGCGGTGCTGAGCAGCCCTGGTTTGTCTGGTCCTTCTGTCTCTCAGCACTTTCCAGATCTGGTCTAGCCATCCCCTTGCCCATGCCGTGAGGCAGGCAGATACAGCCTCAGCCTTCCAGGGGAGAAACAGAGGCATCAGGCAAAGGTGGGCGTCTAATCCCTTCCATACAGAAAAAACTGAACTTTAATTCCAGAAACCCCGAGCCCTCAATTCAGTTGCCACAAGGAGGAAGAGTAGTAGGGCTATGGCCCAGCTGAGGACGTGTTTGCCACTGACAAGCGTGAGGACCTGATACTGGGTCCTCAGCAGCCACCTAAAACGTCAGGAACCTCAACACTGGGGAGAAGAAATAAAATCACATAATGTATTGCTGTTTGAGTTTTGTTTGGAGATGGTCTCATTATGTAGCCCTAGCTGTCCTGGAACTGGCGATGTACACCAGGCTGGCCTCGAACTCACAGCGATCTTTCTGTCTCTGACTCCTGAGCACTGGGATCAAAGGTGTGCGCCACCATCCCCAGCTTCTTTCGCTGGTTTTTAAAGTGTAAGATTCAGTGATTTCTCTTTAGCACACTCACAGTCTGCTGCAGCTGTCACCAGCGTCTAATTCCAGGACGCTTTAGCTCCCGAAAGGGAACCCATGACGTGAAGCAGCCACACTCTCCTTCCTCTTTACTTCTGGGAACCACCAGGTGCCTTTGTATCCACAAGGGTTTGCCTGCTTCTAACATCTCAGATACACATTCCTGAAAGGTGTGGTGTTGCACGTGTGCCGTTGCACGTGTCGTGTTACATTGTGGCGTTGCATGTGTGGTGTTGCACGTGTGGCATTGCGTGTGTGATGTTGCACAGGTGGCGCTGCATTGTGGTGTTGCGTGTGTGGCGTTGCACATATGGCATTGCATGTGTGGCGTTGCATGTGTCACACTGCACATGTGGCGTTGCATTGTGGCGCCTTCCAGTTAGCAAGTGTTTCCTACACCTGTTACACGGACAAGTCACAACCATGCATACCCCAGTTCCAGAGATCTGACACCCTCTTCTGACTTCCATGGGAACCAGACACACACAGCAGGGAGGGGGGCACATTCATACATACAGGCGAAATACCCATAGACAAAAATCAAATAAGTCTAAAGAGATTTTTTAAAATTAATTTCATCACTCTTTTTTTAATGCCCTCCAACTTTAAAATTATTCCTACTAAAATTTGAAGTTGCTATACATTGTACATTTTATTCTATTGAACAAAGCTATTCTATTCTATGGCCTAGCTGTTTTTAATTTTAATATGCTATATAAACATTTTCCTATTATTGCACAAAGAGATCAAGTTGTTTGTTGTTTGTTTGTTTTTTTTTTTTTTGAGACCCCCAAGCTGACCTTGAACTCCCAATCCTCCCTCCTCAGCTTCTGGAACGCTGGGATCACAGAAATGTACCAAAGCACCCAGAAACCTCTCTTTCAACAGCTACACAGTACTTGTTTGTCCCATTCTTGCTGGACATGGGGAAACTTTCAGATTTTCTACTGCAAATAAAGCAAACAGAACATCCTGTACAACAGAGATTGGTAAATCTTATGCTTCCTGTTGTTTATGGGACGGTGTTCTGGAAGCAGGACCTCAGTTCAGAAACTGACAGCTCTCCCAGAGACTGACAGCTCTCCCAGTGGTGACTGCTGGCAGGGAGAAGAGACCACAAGGATTGTCCGATTCCCCTCCTGTGCACACAGACTGTCAGCTTGTCCTCACCCCGCTCCATAGACAGTTCTCCGGAGGGCGGTGGATCTAGTTCACCTTTGCAGAGGCTCTCAGGGCCTTCTTGTTTGGCCCTCACAGTGTCCCCTTTTCTCCTTAGGAACTCAGATATGCATTTTATCCAATATTTCTAGATGTTTTCAGAAACTGGAGGTTTTCCAGGGGATTGCCAGAAATGAGTGTCTCTCTCCTTAATTTTTTTTTTTTTTTTTTTTAGTAGAGCCTCTCTATGCAGCCCTGGTTGGCCTGGAACTTGCCTTGTAGGTCTGCCTGTCCTGGTCTGCTTGCCCCTACCTCCAAGTGCTGGGATTAAAGACTTGCACCACCACACCAGGCTCTCCTAACTAATTTTAAAAGTCGCTTTAACTTATACTTAATATCTGTATATCCCTGAATCTTTTATGATACTCTCTGTTCTAGAATATTCTATAGCAGAGTCTTAGTTTTTAAACAGTTCTGTTTTGTTTTTCAACATCCCAAGTACCCCGAGCTGTCCTCCAAGCCACCATGCCTTGTCTGCCTCCCAGGCACTGGGATAGCAGGTGTGAGCCACTACACCCTGATTTTACAATTCTTTAGATATGTTGACAGTTTATTTTTGGAAAGGCTAATTACCATCCTACCCTGTGCTTTCAAACCCTTTGGGAATTGTTTCCTAAAATAAACTTTCTCAAACTGATCAACGGGAATGACAGACACTATTAAAGCAATCACTTCTGTCCCGGCCTTTTAATCGAGGGTAGCCATTGTTCCCCTTCCTCGCCCCCCGTGTTTGATGAAGCATCTGGGCACATCCCTCGCCTGACTCTGGAGAAAATGACTCTTTTTTTTTTTTTTTCTTAGACCTTGGCTCGGGATGTGGTTGCAAGGCTCCAGAGCAGCTGCCTTCGGGCCAGGCTGGCGTGGCTTCAGGTTTACAGATCAAAGAGCAGCAGGCAGCTCAGGGTTTGGCCAACGGTACTGCAAATATGGGCACTGACGCAGAAACTGCAGGACACAGGGGCCTGCGAAGGGGGCCGGGGCAGCTGCATCATCAGGTCAATGCCATGGACACACCTTCATCTGTGCTCCGGAGCCAACATCAGGACTGAGGTCAGAGGGAAGCAGGCAACGCAAACAAGTTCTGGTACTACCTGCCGTTGGGAGCAAATGTTTCCCCGTTCCCCCCCCCCCCCCCCCACACGGGGTTGGGGGGGGGGGGGGGGGAGAGGGAGAGGACCCAGAGCTGTGTAGAGAGTTTCC